AAATTTTATTTAAATATTTTAAAATTTAAAAAATATAGATCATAAGCATATTTTTAACAATTTTTTAGGCAAATTTGTCTGGAAAAGCTTACAGATTAAGAGATAAAATTATATATTTATTACAACAATATTAAAATCTAAAATTTATTAAATTTTTTATTTTTTTTTAAAAAAATAAATTTATTAAAAAATTTTTTATTCAATAAAATATTTATAAAATTATAATAAATATATATATTAAAAAATAACTTAAAATCTATTTTATATAATATAAAAAACTCATAAATAAATTAATAAAATTTAAAATTTTTTATATATAAAAAAAATTATTTTATAAAATATAATAACTTAGTAAAGTAATTAAGTTATCAATTCTGAGTGGCAGGTTTAAAGTTCAAATCCTATAAACAACAAATTTTAGAATTTATATCTGTATTATAATAACTGATTCTATCGATTAGTTAGATTGGACATATCTGTAACCTTCAATTATACTATCTAGAATAAGAATTTAGAACATTTATACAAAGTATAACATTATATATATATAAGAAATCTTTAACCAATGTTGCATAAGACTTTGATGCAAATTCATGATAAGATTACTAAATACAAAAAGTGAAAGAACTATAAAGTCAGAAACCTACTTGAAAATCTTAAGTAAGAAGATAACACAAACTTTCAATAATGCTATCAGATCGATGAAAGTTCATAAAACACTTTCAGTAAGAATAGATAAATAAACTAGATAATAAGATGTATAAAAGAACATATAATCAACCAGACTACTAGAATTACTAAAGAAAAAGGATACTTTGGTATACTATATTAGACTATCTGAATTAAAAGTCTGAAGATTTCTATTGATTTTTAATTACAGTTAATAGAAAATAATAAAAAAAATGTCAGAAAGATGAGTATCAAAATTTAGGTAAATCTTACAAGAGTATAGTAATTTAATGATTAATTCTGACTGCAAGTAATAATTTAAACCAAAATAATATCAGGTTAGCTATAAGTATGAGATATAGAAGACTTTGGTAAATTTAGTATGAAATTAAACATGACTTAGTGATTATGACATATTTTTACCAGTTTACTGATATCATTAGTAGAATGTGATGGATATGGGATTAGAGTGTTTAAATAGAAAATCTACAGATGAGTCTTAAATATAACAACTAATATAGAACTTTCAAGCAGATTAATTAAATTAAACAATAACTAAAGTTATACGAGTGGCTAGTTGTACACTCATTCCATGATTGCCTCTGTGTCTGTTACGTTAACAAATGCTAGCCAATATATACTATCAATAAAATCCTGGGTCGCATGTACTCACCTTAACATTAAAAAAAAGAAATTATTTTTTGGTTTAATGTATTAGAAATGATGATATAACCCATACTTGAGATAATTTATAATTTAAGCCAAGATATGGTAATAATAAAAATGTGCATCTTTTTGGACTACATTTGTAATTCTAATGAAATAATCCGTGCACCTGGTGATGGAACTTCAATCCCATTATAATATAAAGCATGGTCGACATTTGAAGATGCACTTTCAGTTTAGAGATAATTAACACGTTGAGTTGCATTTCATAATTAACTAATCGATTTGTTTTAATAGTGAAGCTAGGTATGTTGTGACTTCCTGATATGAAAGTGATGATTCATGAAGTGTTTAAAGTTGCTAAAACAACAAATTCTATCATTAGGTAGCCAATCACAATGCAGTATAATCTTCAGTAATCATGTGATTAGGATTGACCAATGAGATTTAATCAAATATTTAAATTCTCGTTGACGTTAAACAACTGAACGGCCTTACTATAATCATTAATATTCTGAAGGACTAAATACTATCTGCAGAATTTTCACGATTTTAGACCGGTTAGGGTTATACGTATAAGAGGTGGCATTATCAGTTCTTTAAAAAAAATGGACCCTGTAAGTCAAGAAGTATGGAATTGCAAGTAAAATCGGTCTTTTTTTTTTTGAATTTATTCTGATAATTTTAATCTCTATTACTATCAAATAAATAGAGTTCTTTAATTATAAGACCCGAAAATGAAATACACGTACGTGCAATATCCACGTGATTTTATGTGCTGTAGACTTGGTGTCTTCCGAGCAAATCACGAGTTTACATAAGTCTAATCGTTATATACACGTCAATAACTTTAATCGTTGACTTTTACCATTAGCGTTAACCGATAGCTATTTCAATATAACATTTAATATACATTTAAACAAATTTTTATATAACAGATAATGTACAACATTACAAATAAAAAAATTATTATAAAGCAAAAAATGGTTATTAAACTATATATATATGTATATATATTTGTTTTTTTTTACATTAATATATTATCATAGTAAAATATATATATTTAACCCGAAGAATTTTCAAGACACCAACCATAAATTCTTTCAATATCAATATTCATAATTTCCAAAAGAAATTTTGTATTTTTCTTGAGTTCTGAATTCATTTTTTGATCTTCAAGTCGTTTCATCAATTCATTTACTCGTTGAATTATAACCTTATCAATAATTAATTTTCGTTCTTCATCATCTAATCCACAAAAAACCTTATGACCAACTCTCATTGTCTTACTATTAATATAACTTTGAAATGCTGAACATAATATAAAAATATGACGCCATAATGCCATAGCAATAGGATTATTCTTATTACTATATGGTTTAGAGTCAAAATAGATATTCACAAATTTTACCAAACTTAAAGGGCTATTAACCATATTTCTATTTTGACGTGGAACAAGTGACAAGTCGGTATCGCGAAGAGCAAGATCAAGTAGCATGCATTTAAACGTGTTTGATAGTATTGTCTGTAATAAAAGCTCATATTAATATTTTTTTTTCTTTGCTTCAAAAGAAACTTTAATAATAACAATAACAATAACAATAACAACAATAATAATAATATAATACCTGAAGAAATAACTTGAACTGTAAAGGTTTAAATTTGTTGATTTGTTGATACACTTCAGTAATTAAACTAGAAGAACAAATATAACCTGCATGTGAAAGAATAATTATCTAGACATAACTTAGTCACGTCAATATAAATATATTTATGATCGTTAATGATTGAATATATTCTTATTATTGTTACCTGTTTCAATAATCGTTGAGATAATCGTGCAATTTCAATGGAAACTTCTTCACGAAATGGAAATAATAAAACATTTATAGGATCTTTTATATTAGTACGGATTCTTCCGTAGCTTTTTGGAATAAGTTGTAATAGTAAAGAGGAATTTAATTGATCTATTCAAGAAATAAAAATTCTGGTAAATTTTTTTTTTTTTGATTAAAAATGTCAAACGTAAAAAAAAATTATAGGAATAAAAGATTTCTTTTACCTTTTTTGACTTTAATATCAATCTCTATTACATTTACTATATGATCCAAGATCATAATAATTCTTTCATGCTGAATAAAAAAAAAGAAATTGTTGGGATTAAAAAAATAAAAAAAAAATTAGTGTAATAAAAACAAAAAAAAGTTATCATTCATGAAAACAACTCACTTTATCTTTATTAACCTTTATAAGAGAAGTAAATCGATTTTCAATAAATTTCCAAAAGTTTACGTAATTTTCCCATAAGGTACCTTCATCTGCATCTATTCGTTCAGAAGTCCAAATATATTGAAATGCTTCATTACTACTTGTTTGTAATATATGTTGTAAAACTTTATAGGCTCTTGAAGCAATATCATCGTCAACTTGGTCACTTGCGATGATATCCATCAGTCTCCGAATGTGTTGCCTGATTTGTTTATAAGCTGTACGTGATTTAATGGTTCGTTGAGGAAAAAAAAAGATATAGAGAGATATATATATAAGACAGTAGACTTACTCAGGAGGGTGATAGTGCTGACTTTGACAAGATTCAAGAAGATCAAGAGCTGCATCGTCTATAAAATATGTCATAAGTTTTTGTTTGACTTGTTACGCGTTGCAAAAGATGCATTCATGGGACAATATATACAGTGATTTTCCTCAAGACAATTATCTATCAAAGACTGATACCCATTAGGCATTGTTCTGGACTGAGGCAAGTTAGTTGAGAAATTATTAAGATTTTCATATAATTCTAAAAGTTCTGGGTGTTTTTTTAAAATTTCTTCTGCCGTCACTGACGTCTCTTCCGCGGTCGACGACGTCCGTAGCACGTATAATATACCAGCCTGGAAAAAAAGTAATCAATGGAGTTAAGTAAAAGAATTAAATTCAAAACTTCAACATCGCGACAGTTCTACCTCTGAACATTCGCTTTCAGAAATATATGCCATCGTTAAAAAGCGCGGCAGAAGTAAACGATTCAATCTACGTAACGCTGCTGATCACCGCTCAGTAAATCATTGTTACATTCAGTGTCGTAATTGGTGTAATTCTTGTAATTCAGTAATTGTTTAAAATTCCGGGTCGATCAGGTGTAACATTAAATCAAAAAAAAAAAGTTTACTCAACTAATAACGAAAATACATTATGAAAATTTAAGATTAATTCGTTTATTAGTTTTGCCTTAACGTCTTGTATAATCTTATAATTAATTTCATATTTTATTGATGCTCGTCTTTTCAAGAGGGAGTTTGATATTTCGCAGAGGTTTCGTTAGGGTTTCGTCTTTAGCAAGAGTTTCATCACGTTCATCTCTAAAGAGGTTAGGATTGGTCTTTCGTTGTCTCATAAAAATAGGTTTTTTTAAAAAAAATAACAATTATACACGAGATATCTCAAATTGTATCTCAATAATGCGTTATTTAGATAATGATCCAACGAATCTCATATTTGATCAATAATTTTAATTAGTCATCCTAAAATTCTATAATGCACGTATAGCCTCCAAAATTGGGAGTTTTTTTTTCATATCGAAAGTAAAAAAATAATTATATTGACTAAATATGTCAATTTACCTTACATAATAACAGATCACGAGAAGTTCCTACTAATACTAAACGTCAAACAAACAAAAATGATAATGAAGTTAACAAAAAAGCATATGAAAAGACTAAACGTCAAACAAACACAATTAATAATCAAGTTAACAAAAAAAAAGCAAATGAAAAGATTAAACGTCAAACCAACACAAATGATAATGAAGTTAACAAAAAAGCAAATGAAAAGATGTTTACCGAACAAGCGAAAGAACTTGTAAATTTAAAGAAAAGGTTTAAATCATTTAAATTAGAATCTCGATTAACCGAACTCACATTTGAATCATTTAAATTACGTGAAGAAGTATATAATTCATTAAGACAAGGAGTATTGAAAGATGTTGAACCTTTTTTACCAACAGAAATTCAAGCGTTAACAATTCCTGAAATTTTAAAAATGGACAATAAACATATATTATGCGCAGCAGAAACAGGATCAGGAAAAACTTTAGCATATTTATTACCAATTGTTAATAAATTAAAAGAGGAAGAAGCACAATCAACATCTTATACACGAGAAGAGATTAATACAGAAATACTTAAAGTATCAACAGAAGAAGAAAACCAACAAAAATACGTTGATGGATTTCAAAAGGAATTAGAACAAGAATTACAACTTAAATCAGTAGTAAAATCAACAGCTAGAAGATTTAATCGACCTCGAGCAATTATTCTTTTACCATCTCGAGAACTTGTTGAACAAATATTAACAGTTGCTAAACTTATGTCACATTATGCAAAATTTCGAGCAATTTCAATAACATCAAGTAAAGATCGTAGATTTGTCAAGAAAACTTTAGAAATGCCAGTTGATATAGTAATAGCAACTCCAGCAGGACTTTTAGAATATATTGATCAAGGATATATTAATATTGCAGATACCAAATATGTTGTTATTGATGAAGCTGATACAATGTTTGGTAAAGGGTTTGGAGAAGAAGTTCAAAATATTATTAACAAAGTAAAAAATTCGGGAAAAAAACAAAATCGAGCGAATCAAATTATTATAGTATCAGCAACGATACCTAAACCGGTGAATGAAATGCTTAAACGGGAATTTCCTAATATTAAAAGTATAACTAGTCATTCACTTCATAAAGCTTTACCTACTATTAAACATAATTTTATTGATATGAAAAATTATAATTATAACAAGAGTGCAGCAATTTTAGAAGTTTTAAAAAAACATTATACGGAAGAACATAGTACAATGATATTTTGTAATACACGAGTGAGTGCTTATGCATTAGAAAGTTTTTTGAAAAGCAAAAAATATTCAGTAATTGGATTATTTGGAGATGTAGAAGAACGTACTACAAAACTTGAAGCATTTCGTAATCAGGAAGGTAATTCGAAAATTTTAGTTTGTACAGATCTCGCATCTAGAGGAATTGATACAACTTTTGTGAAACACGTGATTTTGTATGACTTTCCAACCACGGTTGTAAATTTTTTACATAGAATTGGTAGGACTGCTAGAGCAGGAAGGAAAGGGGAAGCAACATATTTCATAACAAAAAAGAATAGAGAATTAGCTAGCAAGATTTCTAAAAATATTAAGGAAGGAAGAGTTTTAGCATAATTTCAACAATTTGAAAAAAAAGTAATACTGTTATGTACGTAATAAAATTATGCATAAGCTTTAATTCGCATTTATTTCAAGAAAATTTTTAATTAATTAATAATAATTTGAATAAATGTTATGTATACGTACATAAAAGAATTATTAAATTCAATTTTATCTTTTCTATTGATTAAAGGCAAAATTTCTAAATATTTAGTTATGCATCAACAATATCTATCATAAAGCACCTAAAAGTGATCAAATGATACGTATCTATAGTTAATTTTGTGTTGTTTCCATATCTGATATATTTATGATAATGCATCGTACGTAATACCAAAATACATGTCTTTATCATTAAAGGAATAATATTCTACGTACGTATATCATATCCAGATATCCTAGTTTTACATTACGTGTAAATAAAAGATTAGTACATACGAATTTTGTTGAAAAAAATTCATAAACAATTGATTACGTATGTATGTACGTACCTAAAGATGTGTTGCAAACGGGCTACTATTATTGTTATCTTGTGAGATCAAACGTTTGAGTACAAACCAATTTAGTACGTACGTACGTAAAACAAATAAATAAATAACATCGAGAATGCAACAGTGATTATTTTACGTACGTATCCTTTTTCGTTGCAAAATTTCAAAATGATTAGACATATTGCTGATCATATAGAAAAAGAAGTTAACAAATTACTTTGGGCTTTTGTTAAATATGAAGCTAACAAATCAGCACGTTATTTTCATGACCATTATACAAGTTCAATATTAATATCATTATTATTATGCATCATCATATACGTAGTTTTCAAATGGGTATTGCCTAAAAAGAAAACCGTCTCGGAATGGAAATTTAAAAATAAAAAATTACGAACAAAAGCACTAACAAACCATTCTAACGATGAAAACAATGAAAGATTAGCGTTTTTAGGCAACTCTATAATCGACAAAATAGTAGCATATTATCTTTTTTGTTGCATTCCAAAATGTAAAATATACACACTTGTATATTTGAAACAAAAGATTCTAGATAAAATAACATTAGCCGGATTTTTTAGAAAATTGAAATTAGAGAACAATTTAATATTAGATAAAGGAAATGAGATGGATAGATATATTAATGATAAGATTCATGGAGAAACTTTTAAAGCGTATATTGCAGCAATATATTTGGATTGTAAATGTGATTTTGATAAAGTTATGGAATATTTAAAACCATTCTTAAAACCATTCATCGATCAATGGGCTGAAATTTTAGAGGATACTGAAGACCATAACGAGATCCCTTCGGAGCTGGAACATATAATTAAACTTGATTTACAGATATTAAAAAAAGGACTTGAAGAACCAACATATATATGGAAAAATAGAGGATTACATATTCATGATACTATGTTTGTTTATGAAATTCTTGTTAATGGAAAGATTTATGGAACTGGTGAGGGCAAACATAGAAACGAAGCTAAAAAGCATGCTGCAATTCAAGCTTACGACAATATCAATTTAGATAACACCATTCTGAAACCAATCGAGATTAACGTTAAGTCTAATAATGTTAAGTCTAATAATGTTAAGTCTGATAATATTAAGTCTGACAATGTTAAGCCTGATAATGTTAAGTCAGACAATGTTAAGTCAGATGATGTCAAGTCAAATGATGTCAGGTTAGGCAATGTCAAGCTAGACAATATCAAGTTAGATAATGTCAAGTTAGATAGTGTTAAACCTGATAGCGTTAAATCTGACAGTGTTAAGCAAGGTAGTGATAAGTCTGGTTGAAAATCATGATTTTTAAAATATGTAGTTACATACTTGAAATTAAATACTAAGCTATCATATATTACCAAAAAAAAAAAAATAGGATCTTTGCAGGTCAAAGTGAGGGCTGCTTATATTTGAGCATAATCTTATTAGTAAAATATAAGATCTCTCCAAAATTTTCTTTTTCACTCTGGGATTGTTTTTTATTTAGTAAAATTTTTATCAAATTATTCTAATCACACATATAGTAATAAAGAGTTTGCGTTATTGTGAAAAACATTCAACAAATTTCTTTTTAAATGACTGTAATTTAACGTTAAAATAACAGTTAAACCAGAAACCTTTTATTTATCTGTTGCATTTCCGCACTATATACTCGAAGAGAAAAATGATGACTTGAGCCTTGATTATTATGTGTTATATTTTAAACTAGTATCACGTAGCTCATTACGATTCTTATTTGGGAAGATAAAAACTTTTTATATTATTAGTCGTGATTATATAATTCCTATTCACCAATTTTTAAATCAATTTGTACCAGCATTTTATTAAAACAGCACAATGAAAAAATTCTAAATAGGTATATGTTATGTATTTGAAATACTTTATACGTATTTATAAACATTGGCTTCATTTTTTAATCCGTATCGATTTACATATCGATATTTGATTTGTCTAGGTTGTTAGATAACCAAATTTGTGGTTCTGAAGTTATTTACTGTAATCAGATTATAGTTTGCTTTTTGTATGTAATGCGGAATTGTGCAAAATTGGTTGATAAAGATGTATAAATACTTTATTTGTTCGATTGATGATTTTATATTCTCATTAATTAAGTTTTAAGAGTGTAAAGTATAATCGATTGGGGTGTTTTTGTCAGTAAACTTGGCAGAAATCTGTAAAAAAATTTAACCTTGAAAAAACTTGCAAGATGGGTCGAGATGGAGATCTTGTTCGAAAGAGTAGTGTAATTATTCGACTTAGGGCATTCTCAACCTCGATATGATTAGTATCATATTTACGTAAAATTTTTGATAACGAATCAAATAAGCAAATTATGAAGTAATCAAAGTTTACTCAAACGTTATTCACTATGTGATTAATTAATAAATGTGATGATGCACCCACGAGTAAAATATTTAAGTATATAAATTTTCATTCATATTGTAATAACGAAAAGTAATTATGCGTAAAATATATTTAAAATGAAAAGCTCAAGTATGGAATTAAGTGTATTCCAAATTATTTGATCGAATATTCTGTTTTGGAAGGGTTTATTCAATAGTTAAATTTAAAAGCATTACATGAAATTTTTACACCTATGATTAGTGTTTTATTTACAATGATTTTGTCACATGCGTTTTTGCATTTGCATTTAATATAATCTACTTCTCTATACGTAGTTGACTATCATTTCACTATTTAAATTAAATTTTATTGGTTAAAACTAGCAGGCAAATTTGCCTGCTCTACAGTTCATAGGATAATATTGTTTGTTTTTAGACCACGCAAACTTGATTTTTCGTTTTACATTACCCGCAGACCCATTTTTTTCAATTTTTATTTATTTATTTTTTTTTTTTTTTGAGCGTCAATTATGTCAATTATTCTGTTTTTGCAATTTATTTTTTTCAATCATTTTATCCGGTATCGCTCAATGGAAACTGTACTTTCCCGAAATTATCTAATAGGACCAACGAAAAAATTTTATTCAATTACTCGGGTAACACTTTAAAGTACTTCTTTAGAATAACGTTTCACTAA